GGGGGGGGGGGGGGGGGGGGGGGGGCACAAAATGGATGGGTTTGAAGCGTACGTGCATCAGCACGCACATGGTTAAGGTCGGTATTGATTGGCAGGTATGTACGATGAGCGTTGGTAGGTATAATAGTTTCATCATGCACATGCCGTCGAGCGAACCAAGCGGACGGGCGAACGGACGGTTAGAAGAGGGAAGGAATGCGGGCGACGGAAGCACGTTGTTTTTATCTTTCTTGTCCTCCACTCATGGATTTGTGCTTCTCCCAATTTTCGCACGCCTGGGCGCTTCGTTTGGCGATCGTTCACCTCATCTGTAGGCCGGACCTAAATGGTTTATTTAATTGCTTATTTAAGAGGTTGTAGTTTTGTAGAAACAAAAGAATCATCATGGAGGAGCGTGATTTTTGGTGGCGGTGCAGCTGGGTGGTAGTGTTTTAAAGTAGGTGTGAGTTTTTCCCTGTTCATGCGGAGTTTTGCTCTACGGCTTTCGGTGGTCCCCAGCGGTGTTGACAGCAGCGTAGCGACGAATAATAATATACTTTAAATGGAATCTACATTGAACTTAAAAAAACGCGATGTATTTTGCATACCGATGAGACAGGCTCAGCTAACTTTGTTGGCTGGCGATCTTGCGTGCGACTGGCATATATATGTAACCGTCAACGGTAGATTTTTGCATGCAGGAATGGTGTGTTTCGGGTTGGTATTAAAAACGGTGCCGCCGTGTTGTAGGGGCTTCCTTCGCGTTTGGTCCCGCGGCGGAGCGTTCGCCTAGCCCTCTACATTATTACAGTCATATTATCTAGCTAGCCGGCAGATAGGTATTCCTGCTGTTGGTGGCCGGTGATTCGCGAGTCCTTTGGTGCGCGTGCTTACCATATATCCGAATACCCTTAATTAATTATATTCACGTGATATATCATGAAATATTATTTTCAGCCAGCCACGAAACGTCCTACGTGTGCTGCTGGGTGATGCCAAAAGATGCCGTGGCCGAGATGGATGATGCCATGCGCTAGCATCTCGCGTAATTACGTAATAGCAGTACGTTGGTGCACGGAGTACAACAAGCCTGTGACTCCGAAAGAGCTTCCAAGGAAAAGGTTTGTATTGTTTCTCTTGGGTAAACTATACGCTTTCAATAATATTCGTGGGTGAATTAACAACAGCTATGTAAGGCGTTACCCTGCTGTAGCTGCTAGTAGGGTTGTGTGTTACCCGCCGGTCTCCTCTACGCTATTATCCTTCACTTCGTAACCTAGTCATTGGTTACAGGACACAGGCAGGCATTTAGTCATCATCACTCACTCACTCTATTTCGTTCCCTGGTACTACTCCACACTACATACACACATACATGCAGATTCACCACAACAACATCGATCGGGAGTAAGTGATGAGTGAGTGGATTGAGCGAATGCGCTGTTACATATTACTGCTGTTCTTTTTTGTGAAGAAGAATCTGAAAGCTACATATATATGAAGGTGGTGGGTGTTGCTTGCTTGACGCCAATGAGACAATCAAAATGTGTGGTGGTAACCACTGCATGGAGGAGCCAACCCCGCCCGATGTTAGTCTAAATCTAGCTCTAGAAGAAGGCCATTTATTATTTGTTGCGCTTCCTCACACGTATAGTCTACCGAGTGATCTACTCTACCCCCATCTGTTTTTGTACTGATATTCTGCATTTATATATTCATTACGAGTAGCCTATTAATAGTGCCCATCTTATGTAGTAACAGGCAGTAAACGAAGCAAGTCTCGTTTGAGTGTATAGGGGCGTACAATTAATTATTGACAGCCGCAGTATGTATGTATGTACAGCAGTAGTAGTCACTTGGTCTAGCCGGGGCATTTTTTTGTTTTGACCCGCAACCATCACCACTCCGTCTTCCTTCTTCCACTTACAGGTCCCAAGCCGCCGGCGCTGGGAAAGCTCGCAGCGCTTCAAGATCTGTACCTCTACGGGAACCAGCTAAGCGGTAAGACACTGTTTAGATGTGTTGAAAAAAATCCCATGAATTTTCAAGATGAATCCCGTGTATGCTTGTAGTACGTTAGGCTTACTTACTGCTGTAAACCGCTGGCTGAGGAACCCTTGTCGCGTTCAAACCTGAAGCCACAGACAGACATGTACCATAGAATATTCCCTCTGTATGATCGGAGCTAGGGACGCAAGGCCGCAGAGGGTAGGTCGCGATAACGAGCGACGCTTCAGTAGTACCCGATCAGAGATAGGTCATACAAAACACAACGAAAAAACTCCACATGGTTTTGATTGGGCAGGGGGGGGGGGGTTTCAGGATTGTGCACCGGAGCCCCCAAGCTCCTACATAGCTTGACCAGCTTGCAACACTGCTCTCCTGCTGCTGGCCTGTAGCTTGTCTCTCCTCTCTGTCGTGGGGTCCAAGTATCCATCCATTGGCATCTTTGCAAATCACAAGGGGCAAGGACTTGAAGTGCCTGCCACTGAAATTGGGACGGAGAGGATTCCGAAGAGGAGAGCAAAGAGGATTGAAGTTGACATTACAATAATACCAAACACCACGCGGCAACGCGTCGATTACTCTTCTGCTTACCGCTAAAGACGGGGCAAGCTCCCATCGGCATCAACTACTACCTGTGTGGAGGAGGCCAAGCATAGCTGGCAGGCTAGGAGGTCGCTCGATGTCGTCGGAGCAAGACCTCTTGTACCAGCGAAAGTATGCTGTCAGCTCGGACGGAGACCACTCTCTTCACGGCGACATTTCAGCGGGGGGAATGTCGAACAAGAACACCGAGTGGATGCAGAACTCGTATACGTGGGTGAGTGAGTTGAGTTGCCTCCTTGCTTCCTCTGCGCTGTTTGGATGCGTTCGATAGTACTGCTGCTGGCTGGAGGACATAACGCACAGGGTTCCTACTTGACGTAATTGCTGGTTTGCTGCAATTGTTAATTTTCTACATACCATTAAACACAAAAAAACGGGCCTTCCTCCCTCTCGCTGGACGTCCATGCATTTTGTAGTTCCCCCGCCCTGACGAAAAATAGTGCAACGTTCTCGCGTTCGTTCCCAGCCAGCGGATTCCTCGACATTTGCTACCGGTAAGTTTTAGGTGCCGCGCTCTCCTGCCTCACTCTGTGCACCTGAACCAGAGCGCGTTGGGGGGGGTGGTGTCTAAGCTTTTTGTGTATGTCACCTGTGCGTTAACAATCTGTTTAACACATGACCTTGAGATGTTTGCGAGAGCCGCATCGATGCGGCACGCATGACTTGCGCATTGCAAGGTAACTCCCGAGACTGCTATTGTATTGTACTTGTGTGGTACTGCAGATCTAAGCTGTGCCCACAATAAGTACAATTCTGAGACGAAGGGAGAACACTGTTTACGTTTGTCCATGGTGGAACACGTGGATATCTCGGTAGGCCAACAGGGTCTCTCCGAAATCTCAAGGCCAAGGTTATGTCCCGTAACAAAAACGCCTACATGAGAACGAGAAATCCGAAACCCACCTATAGGGGAGACCTACTGTAGTTCCTCCTCTTTACTTCTGCAGGTTCTAGCTTGGATGTGTGCATGCACTTGCGTTCAAGCGTTGTTTGGCCCGGCAGTTCGTCTCTTATTGCGAATCGCGGCGATTCTGCACACAGCTCTGGACGTGTCAGACTGAGGGTAGAGAGCAAAGAGTCATCGTCATGTGAGCGAGGCTTAACAGAGCCAAGCTTCCGGATGGTCCCACCTCAAATGTCGTTACAGAGACTTACGTCATCATCTATGATATGCCTCAACTCTGCTCTCTGATTGGTTCAACTTGTGCCTATGGTGGTGCACCTTGCAGCTATTGGCTTATATATTACATTTGAGAACTGCCCTTGGTCACCACATCATCCTACCGTACCCTTGGTCCTTATCTACTGCCCTGCACAGGTCGGTCCAGTTGTCTATGTGCGCAGAAAATATGCTGACAGTTGTTCGTAGTTCCAAGATAACGCCCTGAAGACTAGACTGAAAGCCACTCTCACCACATTAGCCTACCCTGATCGTAAGTAATTCTGAACCAAGAACTTGCATGAACACCTAATACTGTTTATAGCAGGTGAGATGGTACCTGCTCGTGACCGTTCTCCTTAAAATCATCAGCACTATGAGTCCTCCTAAAGATTGTTATCCGCAAAGGCCCATAAACACAACTTCGACTATTCAGGCCCAGCCCACGGACGCCCCGTCAATGAAAACGCCAACGCAGCATGCAGCAAAAAACGTGCCACCATAACTTGACATTCTGCTTGTGTGACAGCCTAGCCTACCCAACACAACCAAAAACGTTTCAGCCGCTTGCCGTTTCCTCTAGGCGTGCTTTGGTGGCAACACGTGCGAAAGGCGGAGAGTGTTCGACGGTTGGTTCCCCGTGAAGCAAATCAAACGTGTGTAGTCCGCAAAGCGAGCAGTGATGCATTTCGACACCACCATACCCACTCGCTAGGTCTAACTGGGAAATATGCAAGATTGGACGCTAGTGGTGTGGCGTATTCTCAAACTCCGTGGCGTCGTTGATTAAGACAGACACTACCGTGTTCACGCAGTCGCGGGACAAGACTTTTTGGACCCAAAGTGGTCAAAGTGGTCATAAGGCAGTATGGTCCAATCGTGATGTTTGCTTTGTCGCACAACCGAGATCACCAATCATTGCCAACATCACGGTTCTATCCTTGTCTCCCATCTTAGTACTAGCCCGGCCGGACGTCGCCTAGCTTCTCACGGAGCGGACGACAAAAAAGCTAAACGCTGCCGCCGTGTTTGCAATTCAGGCTCTCGCATTGCTTGAACACTTCACGCAAAATATTTCGAAAAAGTTTGTTGTCTTTCGTCGTCCGCCAGTTCGTCGGATATTCCGGGTCCCGTGCGTTGATCGAAGAGATTTATTATTAATATTGTCCGTGCAAAGTATCCGTGTGCAATATATTGAGGATCTGAACGAAGACGACACGACACTTACGCGCACCAAGGTGGTGAGTATATTGAACTCTTGATGAGTCCACTTGTACGGGGATCTTGAATAGTCTCTATATTTGTACTTCGTAGTGTCTGTTTTCTGCAACGACCGAGCAAAGTAGGCAATATGGTGCATGGGGTACAGTTGTCACAAGAGGTATTTCACGGCCCGGTATTCTCTGTTATGTTTGTACAATACAATCACTATTCCTATCCACGAAGCTGCACCATAGTACGTTCTCTGCACCTCGCGATGGGGGCAAGAAGCATGTTCTTGGTCGGACACACAGGGAATCTGAAAGTCTGCTGACTCGTGTTTACGTGGACAATTCTTGTGTTGGAAGTATGAATTGTAGCTGCTCATGCACGCCACAACCTCCCGCAACCCTCCCTCTCATGGCTGTGTCTCCTGCTACGACATATAACACGTTCTGGCAGGTGATGTATGTCCTCTTTATCGCAACCATCTGGGGCGTGGTGCACATGACCCAGATCTTCAGCGTCGCAAAGTCTACGACAATGGTGAACGTGGTACATGGCTTGGTAAGTTGGCCGAACTAAATGGGGGGAGGGGGGGGGCGGTTATGGGAGTTACAGTTCCTTGTTTTCCTTATTCGTTTGACCAGATCATGCATCCCTTCCAGACTGAGCACCAATCCTTCTCCTACTGGAGACATGAACAACAGGCCAGGCGCTTTCCTACGTGAGGTCGGGCGTCTGCCGCGTACAACCCCTGTCCGATGATGCCATGTCTGTCGCTTGCTTTTCCTCCGCACTTGCGCCGAGCTTGGAATATGAAAACATCTTGGCATACCTGCTGTTTGGTCGAGTATTTACTATTCCGGAACTGCTGCACACACAGTATATGGCGTGGACTTGCCCCTCCGTTTTTTGTCTTCAAGTTTTTGAACAGCAGTTCGGTTCGATCATCGTAGCAGAATGTACTTTCTGGATTTGTGCTACCGATCCGTCCGCAAACCAAGGCCGTTTGTTGCCCCGCACTCCTGTTTTCGTTTTCGTGCCCACCCGCGCGTTTTGCTATATATCCGTTTAAAACGGGTACCCAGATTACGTTCTACTTCTTTCATTGGACGAAGGGATCTCCGGACGAGTTCACCCAGGGGGAGTGGAACGGCTTGACGTTTTGGGAGCAGCTTGACGCAGGGGTGCCGTGGACGAAGACCAAAAAGTTTATGATGATCGTACCCACCGTCTTGTGAGTCAAAGTAATAGTGTTTTGCAGCATTTTTCTCATGGAAGGCAGCAGTGGTGAAGCATTGGCGTCGTTTTCGCCTCGGGATGAGGGGTCTTGGGTTCATGGCATGCTCTGCTTGTGAATTGGTAGAAATCGTGCTCCACGGGCTGTCGAGGTTTCAGAAACAGGCTTGCCGCGAATGCTACGCTTGGTCCACATAGAGGCGGAATCTTGCGATGTGCTACATACCTTCTCTTGTCAAGCACGAGAATTGCTTGTCGAAGGTTCATCCTGTGCATGGACCCTGCGCATGTTTTCTATGCATCGGAACGATATTTTGAGTGGTTGTGCCCTGTCACGAGCGGCCAACGCAAAGCAAATTTTGAGTACTGTACCCACTTTTGTCTAAGAAAGGGGGTGGATATACTCACTTTTGTCTATTTCCTACCTGGTATATTTTACGCCCTACAGATCGTCGCTGAATCTTGCCCAAGCAATCATGCTTTTGTTGCGTTGTGTGCAGGAAGTAGAAATGCCTTCTTTTATTTTTTTGCTGCGAATTTCTGTGTGTCTCTTTTTTTTTATCATCGTGCCAACGTTATAGTTTGGACACTTGAGATCGCTGCAACACCGCGTACCTCCGTCTGATAGGCCACCAAAAGCATGACATGCACCCACCTCTCCTCAGTCCTTCCTCGCCCGCCCTCACCGGCTGCTTCCCCAGCTTCGTCCTGATTTTCGTGCCCCCCGAACTTTGCGCTTGTTTGTGTGTGCATGTGTGTTTTTTCAGGTGTCTGATCCCGCTGGTGGTTAGCGATTACCAACCAAGATACCTAGCGGTTAACCTGCCGGTGTGCTGTATCCTCCTCTTGGCAAAGTCCCCCCTCATGCACAGGGTGCGTATACTCGACATCAACGCCACCACCGGCATCGACGACCGCGTAAAGAAGGAGTGAGGATAGGATAGGACAACTCAGACGGGGGGTCGCGCGCGGGCGTGGTATGAGGGTCGGCGAGGAGTTGCGTGTACCGCTGGCTGCCAGTTGCCCCACGCGTGACTAAATTACTATGAGATCGAGAATCAGCTAGGCGCGGAGGGTCAGATGAAGGACCCAACGAACGAGCTACAAAAGCGCCACACGGGATGGGCGGGGGGCTGTAGTCGCGCACGGTTTGGTGGACCGGTGACCGGACGGGAGCTAGCGCACGAGCGGACTTCTGTGCGGGGTATTCCGGGAGCAACTGGCTGTTTTTTTTCCAAAAAGGTGGCGGAGGAGATTGATGCATGTACCCTTATGACGAGAGGAGCGGTCCATGACGAAGGCTTGGGAGGGTGCGGGGGTTAACGCTGCCAGAGGAGGATAGGAGCACTGCCCGCCGCGGGGAGCGTGAGTTGAGGCTTCGTGTGGCATTTTTTGGTGAGCGCCACTACTACTGCTGAGGTATGGAGGGTTGTGGTGGATACTGGGCGGGCCCTGCTCAGCACCACATCCCTCGGATGTAGCAAGCAGCCGCGTTGGTTCATTTCCCGTACGGGAGGGAAGGCGGTCGTGACCTTTTTTCTGGTAGTGTTCCGCAGCAAGCAGCAACGACAGGGGGCCGCTGTTGTAGCTTTTGCGCGGGGCGGGGGGGCGGTGTAGTTCGATGGGAAGATGGAGCGCCGCCCGCCCCGGCTGCGTCTGGATCACGGAGCTCGGATCACCCATCTCGTGCCCGTTGGCGAACACAACTCCGCCATATGCCGAAGTAGTTGGCTGAAGCGGATGTAGCTAAGCGGGTGCAGCTAGTCATTCTGTCGACGTCGCTACTGGCACGCCAGGGTAGGTTTATGGCCAATGCGGCGGGAAAGGTGACAGCACGTCGTGTTTTTGTAGGTGCCTCGTTCTCTCCCCCCCCCCCCCCTAAAAATTGTTGGGTTGGGATTTCCTTCCGGCGCTGGAAAAAGAAAAACTCGTGTAGTTTCCTGTCGAGGATTTCCCATGCGGTATTCTACTAGGCTGGGAGTTGCGAATTGCGTCTTGGTTGCGTGGCGGCTTGGTTGGCCTACTACCTGGCGTCAACCAAGTACTGTGTACCCGCTTTCGGTAAGGCGTGCTGAACTTTGAGCTTGAGTATCGTTGGTGCTGGGGACGGTGCGCGTGGTGCTTTTGTGGTGGGGCGTGGTTTGGGTATAGCAGTATCAGGTCGGTCAGTCGTTGAAGAAAATTCACATTGGGGGACCTCGGCTGCTGTACCGTCGTCGCGTGCCTGTTGCAACTCTATGCCGTATCGTGTTTGGTTTTTTGTGGCCGTTAAACGGCTCCCGGTGTCAATACATGTAAATATGTTGCGCTTTGGCGAAACCTTGGGGGGGGAAATTTGTACGGCGCAATCTGCGGCCAAAGAACGCGCAGGTATGCTTGCCACATGCGGAATGCTTGCCACATGCGGCCATCGGTTGCCGCAATGCCACCGTGCACTGCGTGTTCTTGCCTTTTTTGTGCGGACGCTAGAAAGGACCCTCGACTCATCGCAACAACAGCTGCTCGTCACCAGGCACGGGCCGCGTACCAGATTTTGTACCAGCACAACTCGCTTGATTCCATCGCACCAGCACGTGAATCCGTCCATGTTGTTGTGGCACCGCGGATAAGGACAACGCAAGCCTTGGGCATTTAGCTCAACGCCAACAAAGCTTGGAGGTTTAATGCACCTTACCTTTAGAGCAAACCCTACCTCTGTGATGCCACTTGTTGCAAACAAATCAAAGCAACCGGTTGGGCAAACGCCATACAGACAGTAGCGCCGGCATCGAGGTTCTCAAACAACAATGTGTCTCACATACGTATAATATTCATTCCTCGTTAGTCCTCCGTGCTCGACGCAACCTATTTGATCAGGCCCTCGTTGTACTAGCCTACGCCCCCCCCCCCCTCCCTCCTTTTACCTCAAGGAGAGCTGGGCAACGTTTACCGGGTATCCCCGACCCGAACGCGAAGACGTCCTTTGTAGAGTGATGTTTGATTTTGGGGCACACGCCGTTGGGGTTCCAGCGTTCCCCCGTCAAGAACCGGACAAAAACAGTCCTTTGCGTCCTTGCAGCAGACTTCCGACAACGTCAGCGACTAAAGCGGGCAAAAAAGGGGAGAGAGGGGCGATGCATCGAGACCATAAACTACTGTGGAATTGCCTGTCTCTCATCTTTTTGTACATTCTCGTCATGTCTTTTTTCGCGAGCCCAACGCGTTTCTGCGCACGGTGGTCGATCACTTCATCTCAAAGGGAAAGGCCCCACCTCCTACAATACCGCTGTACTGGGGGTACAAAACGAGCGGGAGAGAACAAGCCAACCTTCCCTCGCCCGCCCGCCTTGACATCAAAAGGCGCCCAATATGCTACACGGGAGATAATACAAACATGAACACGGCTTATTATTTTTGGTACAGAGTGGATGCCGCGTTCTCCCTGCGTTCTTTACATCAACAATCCAGCCTTTAACGATATCTAAATGATGCCGACTTTCCTCAAGCCGTCTCTAGCGGCCACGTTGTAAGCCTCCGCCAGCGTCGGGTAGTTGAACACCGCCGTCCGGAAGTAATCCACGGAGCCCCCCTGGGCCATGACGACCTGGCGTGGGCCCAGAGGCATCGTCGCGCGGCCATAAGCGAAAAACGGAGCACGATCGATCGCATCGTCAGCGGCGGTGTCATATTTTCTACTAAATTACTTCCTGCTTTCAAAGGGGGAATTAAATTCTCTCGCTCCTCGTGCACGATCGGTGCAACACCTACGACGGCCCCTTTTTCTTCTCCCGCAGTACACAAATAGTTCTCTCCTCTTCCTCCGCTCACCTGGCCGATGTGGATGATTTCTGTCGCCCCCTCGCCGAACGCGTGCACCCCTAGCAGCTTGAGCGTGTTCGTGTCGAACAAGAGCTTCAAGAAACCGTCCACCCCTCCCAGCATTTGACCCTTGGCGAGCTGCAGCAGCAAGAGGAGCGCAACAGCAAGATGGCCAACACAGCAAAAAAGGGGAATTCCATAGGGCGCTACTTAGAACAAACGCCTTTGCCTCTCGAACCGAGGCAACACGCCAACATAATTCAGAAACCTTGCCGGTGTTTATCTGCGCACCAAAGTTCCTTGCTCAATCGGTGGTCCCTCCCCCCCAAAAGTGTGCCCCTGCCTACCGCACAGCAGACGCGCGCAGCAAAGAACACGGCAGGCAGCAGCCAGTGGCCTTCGCCTACGAGTCAACCCCGTCCTTTCGAGACGCATGCAGCAGTGGGTGCGCGAAGAGTGCGGCTGCAAGAAGAGTGGCGCCCCCCCCCCCCCCCTCGTTTCCCCTCAACCCACCTCTCGGTAGTCCCCGAGAACCACCTCCTAACTCACGTGCGCCCGCGTAAGCTGGGCCTCCGTCTTCCCAACCATGGATATCTCGGGGATGGTGTAGATGCCTGCCGCGAACCGGCGCGGAACGCGCGTCAGGACTCGTCAGGATATATGCACCAAACTCAGGGCAACCGGGGGCAACACATATTCAAGGCTAGTGCAGCAAGTAGCATCGAGTCAACCCTAGCGGTCGCCGCCAGCGCGTAGGGTAGGAATACGGCGTCGTGTTCCGATGAACCTTTGTTGAGGAGGAACTCATTGTTCGTGTCCGGTTATCGCAGAGCATGTTGAATGTCAAGCACTTCCTCACCGTACGGGAAGAGGAGCTCCGAGGAACGATCGAGGAGGCCCATGGGAATGCTCCCATACGGCCCCGTGCTGCTGGTTGCTTCGTTCAGAGTGGTCGTGCCTGCGGCGGCCACGGGGTCTTGTTGAGACGGCTGTGAAGCCGCTGCCACCGTCGCTGCTGACTCCAAAGCCCCCCTTTCTTCCCCGTCTTCAATTCCCGCCTCCTCCACATCGCTATCGCTATCGCTATCGCCATCGCTGTCGCTACTGTTGCGTATTGTTCGGGACGGAATTGAATAGGATTGCAGGAGACGAGTAAACGAAACAGTGCAAAAGGGACGGCCGATGTAGGGTCTCGGGCAGGCGGCACCCACCTTCCGTCGTGGATGGTGAAATAATTCATTCGCACACCCCCGTGCAAGGGCAAGCACCGGTGTTCCCATCGCTCTCTACATACACAAGCGCTCGATTGACCCAAGAGTGGCGTTCTCGCTTTCGTGTCTCGCTCCAAGCATCTGGCGGATCACCTGTCGCCGACGCTGCCGGTGCTGTCCTCTATAGCGCCTTCTGCCGCTGCGGCCTTGGCGGCGGCATCTGTCGCGAGAGCTCCCTGCACGGTACCCGGGAAAAACGGAGCGTATGCAGAGGCAAGGCCGTCGTGAAGCTCCCGCGGTAGAGGCGCACGCGGCAAAACGAGACCGCGACTGGAACGCAACCGCGTTGATTCCGTGCAAGAAGGAGGATGTATCAACTGCTGTGACACCGCCGAGCTAGCCCTCGCACACACACGCACCTCACGGGGTCCCAGATCATGGCCTCTATTTTTCGTTCTTACCGCATTTGAGACTGACGTCTTGTCATTGGTCAAACGCGGCTCATGCCAACAACAAGGCCACACACACGAAAAAACACACGTGGTCGCTCCACATGTGATGTGCAGCCCGCACGCCTTGTTCCATGGACGTTGACGCCAGCGCCGGGTAGCCGATCACGTCCCCGCACGCGTACACTCCTGCCTGGGCCGTCTGGTAGGAGTCGTCGACGTTCAGCAGTCCGCGCTCGTCCGGGTCCACCCCGATCGCCTGATTTTGCGTCGCCGCCAGCGGCAAGCAGCCCAAACGTCGACGGCAATCGAGCACGAGGAGATGGATTGTCGCGGTGTTTCAGGCGTCGGGAGGGGGGGGGGGCGCACTCTTATGTTTTGCATGCCTTAGCGGTTAGACCATTGACCGCGCGTCCTCGACAGGACGGAGCATTGTTCCCACGGGACGGATCACCGATGGCCAATCGGGGGATGGGGGGGTAAGACGAGGATACCAGTTGCCAACGTTCGACACACGCAGGCTGTCCGTTGCCGGCGCCTAAGCTCGCTCTGGCAAATCGATGCGCTCCAACCCGAGCGCGCCGAGCAAGGTAGGCCAAGCCGCCACCGAACCTCGTCTGAGAACAACCACATGTGTGCCTCACCATCAAAATAGATCTAATTCAGCCCATCCCAGATCAATCTTCTTGTGAGCAACACGTGTACGTGGCGGGCACGCAACGGAAAACACGGCGCACCACACGAACGCAATGCGAAGGACTATCCCACAAAACACTCTGCTGCGCGCCGGCACACGCACCTCCAAGTTCAGCGAGTCAGTGTTTCCGAGGCGTCCCATCGCGTACAGGAGCGCGTCCCCTTTTACCCGCTTGCCGCTGAGCAGATGCGCCACCACCACCGTGCCGTCGGCCATCTTTTCCACGCTCTTCACCTGCGGCAGAATTTTCGTTGTTTTTCTTCGCACGTCACGCTCACTTTTGGTGCACTTCCACACGCGAGTGGGTTCTACAGTAGCTGTGAGAGACAAAAGCATAATAGGCGGGGTGTTGTGGAGTTGGTACTTCACAGGGGCTCGACACTGCAGACAGACGGGTAAAACGACGATAGACTACCGGGAACAAAGGAGCCAAATGAGGCGGCCACGCTGGGTACTCAACTGCACGCGCAAGCAAACAGACGGGAGAAAGGCTGTTGTCTGTCGGGTGTCCAGCACCACATTGTTTCGGAGAGGGTGCGGACCATCACCACGTCCAACTGCGCCCGCCGGGTTTGCCCCAATGTCCAAGACCGACCCATGCTCCCCTGACCGCCTGCCCGTACCTTCTCCCCGAGGAGAAACCTGGCGCCGTTCTTCCGCATGGAGTAGCACAGCGCCTGCGTGACCTCCCGGTCCGCGAACCCCAGCACCTCGTCCCTCGGATCGATGACCGTGACCGTGGTGCCCGGAATGACGTTGATCATGCTCGCGTACTCCATGCCGATGACGCCGGCCCCTACGACGATGAGGTCCCTGGGCACCCTGTCCACCCCTCCCCACAGCAGCTGGTCGGAGTCGAAGACGCGGGAGCCGTCGAAGGGGACGTCCGGTCGCCGGAGCGGCCGCGTCCCGCAGGCCACCAGGAAACGGTCGGCCGAGAGGGTCACGCTGGGAAGGGACGCCTCGATGTGACGGTAGACGCTGCATAACGTGGGTCGCACGCATGTCATTGAAGTTCGGGGCGGTCAGGGGCGGGGGGGGGTGTACTCTCATGACTTGCATGCCTTAGCTGTTAGACCACTGACCACGCGTCCTCGAGAGGACGGAGGATTGGTCAGGGTGGGGGGGGCGAGGATAGTCACGCGAGAATCATGGCAAAAACGACGTATTCTTACCATCGATCGCCGGCATCAAGGGGGAGATATGTGAGAGGAGAGACAGATAGTTGGTGTCTGCGGAAAGGCCTAGAGCGAACGTGGGTGTGCCTTACGTCCGGGGAAGAGAATATTGATGGAGAGGTGGGACGACATTGTCGCCGTCAACCCCTCTCGATCCCGCGGCCTTTCTAGCACTCGGTCATGCGTCGTCTATCTCAATATCCACCACACTCTGGTCGTTGGTGCCAAAAGCTCGCCGAAAGGATTGACAAAAACTCCATCGACTGGAGAGCCAGCCAGCCACGCCAGGCTGACCTTGTCTTCGCCTCCGTCTTCTCGCTGGTCCGCAGGACCATCACACGGTGGGGCTCTCCCTCCGACCCGGGCAAAAACCTCGCCGTCCCAGAGATGAGCTCGATGCCCTCCCGCTGCAGCTGGTCCCGCACCACTTCGGTCTCCTTCGCCTCAACCTGGACACCACCGTCAAAGTGTTCAGCCAATAAAAAAACTCCACTGGTCTGGATGGGTGTGTCCAAGATTTAGAGATTGTCGCTGTCGAATTGGGATGGGGGTGCGCCCATCAAAATCAGGGACTTTGCACACATCTGTCCAACTCGTAACTACTAGAAATCGTAATCTATCGTTCACCTACGCTCTTTCGCTTTGGTCGGTCAGCCGTAACGCGCACTACTCCCCCCCCCCCGGACCAAAAAATACAATAATACCGTTCGGATGACGTGTAGCAGCGATCGGTGATCAGCTGGGTAACAATACACGGAGACACGCACCCCCAGCGGTTTTGCTATTTTTGTCCCGGCTGCAAGAGAGCAACGATCCGCTGCCAGCAGCAGGACTCAACCGACCCTTGTGTTGTCTGCCTAGAACACGCCCCCGGTTACACTGTACAAAAAATAATCACACCCGCGAAAACATCACTGCTGTTGGCTGATCAAACGGACCTTGCAATGCACTCCTTAATTGGAGGTTGGCCGTGTTGAGGCAGAATAACAGTAGGGAGGTGCTTAGTATTTAAAAAAACAGTAAAAAAAAAGCACCATCGGAGCAGTGATATGTCTGTAAATCCCCAAATCGGATAGGCTCGCCTTTTGCACCCTGGCCAGCACGTCAGGGATCGCCACTGCCGCCCTTGCCCTCTGGCTAGACCGGCCGTAGAACCCTTGATGCCTCCACCCAGTCAAATGCAGGACGGCCTCCCTGGAAAAAGGAGTGCGACATCATAAGAAGGGCAAAGCTTGTCGACTTAGACTATGAGGCGAAGAAACCAACAAGACGGCTCTTCAGAGACCAAGAGGGTTCCACAGCAGTCACTTCTGCGGCGGTGACGGCGGCGCGTGCGATGAACCGGCACTAATGCGCAGGGTGCGGCCGGCGCCCTTCCATACGATCCGTGTCAGCAGTCTCCCGGCAACACTGGTTTCACCAGAGAGCCCAGCACGTGACAGCGGGATCCGCTGATGTGCCCTTGCCGGAACAATACCAGCCCTCCAACACACGCGGGTGCGCACACGGGCACTGCTTTGTGCGCTGCCATCTGTCCAAGAATTCTCAACAACATTCGACCCTTTCGTGCAACCAAAACCCCCCTTCGCTTTCTCCCGCGGACGCTAACTGGACACAGAGCTCTTGGGCAGTCGGCTCTGCTACTACGCGAGCCTTGCGCGGGGGATAAGAGCGAGAGACGGCGGGAGACTCGCCTGAACGTCTTGCTGGGGATGGTCCCCGTGTGGACGCAGACCCCTCCCAGCTGGCTGGACTTGTCAACGATGCACACGCTCTTGCCGTACTTGGCGCTCTCGATGGCGCACTTCTGCGCCGCCGGCCCAGACCCTACGATGACCAGGTCGTAGTGGGCCGAGGACTTCGCTAGGGCTGCTGCTTGGGTGCTGGACGCTCGCCCGCACAAAGAGGGCGCGTGGCGCTGCAGCCCTCGGCTGAGCGCCTCGCCCAGGCGCAAGTGCCTTCTGCCTAGCATACCACCCTCGAGAGCAAACCCGGAGGACGTGGGGCCCTTGCCTCGCCCTGCGTTGATGTAGACCAGTATCAGTAGAGGCAGCAGCAGCGGGTGTAGGACGACAGCAGTAGAGTTAAAGTGTCCGTCTCTCAAACACCTGGCGCCGTTCACAGCCGCAGTCTAGTGTGGGTTACACCAGAGTACAAGGGCGCTCTGCACAAACAAAGGGCGGGGGTACATCGCTGTTCAGAAGTATTGCTTACAACGCAACTCCAATTTTTGGAGTTAGCTTCATGCGGAGTCGAGTCGGCGAGCAATCGATCAACAGTCAAGGCTTTTCAAAGTTTGGTGCATCCCGCAAACGATTAACAACTCTTCGTTGGGACTCTTTTCTTGGATTCTGAAAGACTGAAAGATGGCGGCGGACGCCGACATTGATGATGTGTATTGCACGCACTCAAAACGTCGCGCGTGATACAGGACATGGCGGCATCTCTTTGGTACACGCGTTTTACTACTCCTCAAGAATGGTAATGATAGAAGCAACCCTGTCAAATAGCACCGACAAGAGGTAGCGCAAAAAACACAAGAGCGTTGGGTGTAAAGGTCCTCTGCTAGAGGAGCTTGAAGCGTGACTACTGCTCTGTGTACTCGTCCCTTGATGTATCTGACTACTGCTCTGTGTACTCGTCCCTTGATGTATCTACAATACAGTATTCTGGCGCCAGTCTACACACCTTCCGTGTAGATAGATGATTGGATGACCAGCCGGGGGGGTCACACAGGAGAAGGCCGCAGAGCTTTAGCTATTGGATGAGATTGTTTTGATGCCCCACCTTTCCTCCTGCGGTGCTTGCCTAACTTGATCTTTCATCGAAAGGGTTCGCTGCCGTTCTGTCATGAATTCTACAACCTGCTACTGCTGTACCTGGTACCCTCCAGAGTACTTGTACCCGAGTATTGTAAGACTCACCGCAAAAATTGCAATTATTTTTCACTACACGAGAGAGAATCCAAGTGACGACCTGCTGCTACTTAGCAGATTTACGAGGTTATCTACCAGGCCACCGGGCCGACCGGTGTTGTTCTACCGTATGCATATGCATACAAGAGGAAATGAAATGCGAACCGGTGGAATGTGGGCGGACACATGGATCATTCGGAGTAGAAAAGTGTTGTATGCATATCATATACAGTATACACGCAAGGTTTCCGGGATACTCCCACAGACAGGGATGTGATGGTGAAAACGATAACTAGAGCACGGGCTCCCACTTGAACCCACACACCGACGATATGCAATTATACTCCTGCTGTACACTCTCGCAAAACGGGATGTAAGTGCTACACCCCCCCAAAGAAACACAGGGTAGGTATGGACGAAGTACGAGGACACTGCTGTAGCAGTAACGGACGCGTGAACAATCGCCGTTTTGGAAGAACACATGCTGCACAATTTGTCTCTCACGGGAGCATTTCCTCGGAGCATGAAACAAGACCACTCACGTGCGGTTTGTCCGGTGGGAATGTACCTCCTCCGAGCTTGAGAGCGTATCGATATGCAGCACAGCACAGCCAAGCAGCAGCAGCAGCGTAGCAACAGGAGCAGCAGTAGGAGTGGCGTGGGAGAGGTACCCAGCTAGGACACATCTCCGAAGCGGCATATACCCTCTCTTTCGCGGATCCCCCGGGAGCCAGCGCGCCAGCGCGGCAGCAACAACGCTGTTTGCGTTTGCTACTTCTAACCAGCAGACGGACACGTCGGTCGCAGCTCCAGTAGGAAAGGCTGTGTGCTCGTCACAGCAGCAAGGAAAGGATGAAGAGTGCGACCGCTTTCACCGTGGCACTCCTGAGCTTGCCGGGCGGCACAGCCTTTGTCCTGAGCAGCAGTAGATCCGACCATTCCGCCATGCGGCGGTACCCGACGAAGTCGCAGCCTACGCGCCACGCGCTGCTGTCGCGTGTTGCATCCCAGCGGGCACCCGACACTGCTGCGGAAGGAGTAGTGCCGGACTCGCAGACACTGTCGGAGGTGAGGTTATCATTCCACTTCTCGCTACACTACACCTACATTCACATTACCGTCGACCTCATGTCGGTACCAATACCTTCACAGCAGCCAGTAGATTGCACGTGTTCTGGTTCTACGAAGACAGCAGTAGTAGCGACTCGGGGGGAGGAGAGAGGAAGTGTACTGCTGTGCAACCCTATCTCTGCCGGAGTGGCTGAAGGCGAGAAAAAAGGCTGTGACATAGAGATTGGGTGGGTTGAGTATGAGAATGGGTAGAAGCAGGGAAATGTCCAATAGTCTGTAACGGCAGCAAGTAAACCTGCAGAGTTGCACCGTTTCGGTGCAGAATGGGAGCATAGGCTGAGAAGCTACACTGCGTTCATGGTTCATGTGTTCATGGTATGTACACATCACGCTTCTTACACCCCCCGACCTCCTCACCCGCTATCATAGCCACCACAACCACCTCACCCCTACCTCCTCCTCTTCCTGCTCCTCCTCCTCCTCCTCCTCCTCCTCCTCCTCCAGACGAAGAGAGCCTTGCAAGATCCCGTATGAATGTTGGATTCGCTTTCGACACGAGCGTTTTTTTTTGCGTCGTCCGTGCGGATGAGATAATGTTTCACACACACACATGGAGAGGAAAAGTTACCCATTCACTTGTGGTGCCTCCTTTAGCAAGGAATTCGAGCGCCTGCCTACGCCCCGCCCCACCGTCCTGCCACTAGGGAAAGACCTGCCGACGTAGAAAGAACATAAAAAAAATGATAAATCTACATTGCTGTACCATACGTGCTGGAGAGGGCTCATGAGATCGTAGCGGTGTCATCGAGGGGGGTGATGCAAGATGACACAACGAAGGCAGGCAGCAGAACCAGCCTACAGCTGGCTGCCAGCTGTTATTTGTTGGTTGTGACGTTTCCCAAGACCAAACGCTCACACGGCTGGCGCGTTTTGACCCGAAGAGCCCAGCGAACCTCAACAAATCACAAAGAAAAATTTACAAAACCTGGTACAGCCCAAAGATTTTTCTTGAGATTCTTGAGAAACTATAACAAATCTGTGTACAGTCTTTTATGCAGCCCGAACTGCACACCCCTGCTCCTCCGCTCCAAAACTATAACGCCAGGTTCTCGCCGCCGCCGTCCACGCGGCAAGCGAGGCGGGCGCGCTCATGAAGGCCAAGGTCGGGGCGGACGTCCTCAAGACCAAGTTCAACCCCAAGGACCTCCTCACGGAGGTGGACGGCCAGTGCCAGCGGGTCATCGAGAAGGTCGTGTCCAAGCAGTTTCCCGACCACGCGTTGCTCGGAGAGGAGAACGTGGAGCCCGGGGCGGAGGCCTCGACGGTGGCGCTCTCCGACGCCCTGGATGGGGGGGGGGCGGCGGAATGGCTGTGGGTCGTGGATCCGATCGACGGGACGACAAATTTCGTTCACGGGATCCCGCTCAGCGCTGTGTCGATCGGAGTGGCTTACCGCGGGAAGGTGGTTGTCGGTGAGAAAAACGCGAGTGCTGCTGTCGTTTCTAGGGTGACTCTAACTTTCTCTGCTTTTGTGTGAAGAAGACAACTTTGACGCAGAACGAGTTGTAATCGGAATCTTTTCTGGCACAATACTAAACTGACGAATCAATAGTCAACTGGCGACGCTGACGACCGTGCACACTTTTATTGTTTCTGACCATGACCCCCCCCCCCCCAGGTTGCATCTATGACCCGTTCCGGGACGAGCTGTTCACGGCTACAAGCGGCAACGGCGCTTTCTTGAACGGCATGAAGATGAAGGTCGGCGACCAGGAGACCATCGGGGAGGCGACGGTAGCCTGCGGGGCCCCCCCAGGGGTGCTGGCTCTCGGGCCGTGCGTGCGAGGGATGGCGGCGCTTGCTCCTCATGTCAGAACAACCCGAATGTTGGGGTCTGCCGGTGAGCTAGCTATATATTTTTTGTAGGCCGACGCGTGATAGTTTTTTTCTCTGTTGCATGCATGCGTCGCATATCGTATCTGGGGAGGGCGTGAGCGGTTGCATTGTTGGTGTGCGTTTTCATGATCGGGGAGAACTACGCTAGGGGTTGGTCGGTCTTCTTGTGGACACGCTTCAAGTGTTGATTGGGCGAATCGTACAAAGAAAAGAGGCGCACCCCCCGCGACACTAGTAGAAACGAGTCCTAGTTATTGCGTGTCAAAATTTGGAGTCTGCTGTAGTTTGCTCCGGCATGAGGTGGAGATGCATGTCTCGGAGGACGGACCGCGGTTTGAGCACGCGCGTTTGCGGTCCAGAGGCGATTCTTGGTTGCATTTGATTCACCAACCGCAGTTGAGAGAGGTTTCGATGCCTGGAGAGTGATCGTGGAGCCTCACAAGAATCTCGCTCGCTCCGCCGCTCCTTTGTTTCTCGGGCGCACACGTTGTTCGAGGATGATATTAGTGTTTGCTACCTTTGAGCTGGACCATCGAACACGGGCGGTAAAGAGGGTTCGAAGCTAGACCTGAGGTTTTGTTCCATGCAGCCTCTCCGTTACCTCCTCCCACTTCTAAGACCTACGCTGGCGCCGCCCGAACTGATGTGTGGGTCTCTGTCTGTCTGTCTGTCTGTCTCTCTCTCTCTCTCTCTCTGTGTCTGTCTCTCTGTCTCGGCTACATGCTGCACCGCCCGCCATTTGCAGCCATCATGCTTGCCTGGGTGGCCTGCGGACGGTTGACGTGCTACTGGGAGCCTGATCTGGTGAGGAAGGGGCGAGACAGATGAAAGTTTATTTGTGTGGCGGGGTGACTGCCGCTGTCTATTAACTGTTTGTGCAGCGTTCTACGCTTTCTCCTCGGCCTAATAGTGCGGGTGGCTCTTGCCGTTGATATCTAAGCAACCCCAGTGACGCTCACTGCTCTCGGCGAAGACGTCGGTAGGTACCAAGTCGCGGACGTATACCGTAAGAGGCGAAGAGATGGCACCACCCTTATATCGACTTTCAAAACTCGATTTCTCCACAACCAAGTGGGTACACGGAAAGAGCTCCATACGTCTGTCTACGAAAAGCCCTCGACGAGATGTTCAAGACCATTTTGGTGTTGGCGCAAGCTTGTTTTTGGAGCAATCGAGCTTTGAAAGTCGATCCAGGGAGGGGTGCCATCTCTCCGCCTCTTACGGTATGTTATGTATGTGTCGACGGCACCAGGAAGGGAGGCACCGGCCTTATGTGCTGTCGTTGTCGAACACCTCAGACACCCAGCAGTTAGTCCATTGACCAGTCTCAACATCAATTGGTATCAGCTACCCCCGGTACCGACGTTTTCCACGCTCACTCATTGGACCAATCCTCATTTTCCGGGGCCCGCCTGATATGCTGTCCGGGCTTAAAACGCGTCAGAACTCGTGGGATATCGCTGCGGGAGCGCTTCTCATCCAGGAAGCCGGCGGGGAGATGACCGACATCCTCGGCGGCCCCTACTCGCTGTCGACTCGAGCCATAATCGGAAGCAACAAGCTGGTGCACGAGGAGATTCGGCACATCTTGGTGGAGGCCAAGGCTACGCGTCCGGATTCGACTCCGCAGCTGTGAACGGCATGTCCTTCGTGTAGCTAGGTTGGGGAGGCTCCGTGCTGTTTCAATTCCTAGCTTGTGGGAGGGGGAGGTTATTCATAGCCGTGCATGCTATAGTCGTTAGACCATTAATCTCGCGTCCCTACGAAACCAGGGCGTAGTAGGGTTTTCACCGGACCAGGCTAGCACATCACCAGGGGATGGGGGGCACACCGGATGATATGCAGTCGAAAAAGACGGGGTGTGGGTGCGACACACCAAGTAACTTGCGACAAGGTTCAGTGCCCGGCGGTATACGCGTGACTGCCGTTGGCGTCCCCAGCAAGGGGAGATGAGCGAGAGTGCGAGCCTTCCGCTTATGGCGGGAGCTTGGAAACGGTTGGCCTATGCAGGATGCTCCTCTGTACGGAGGTGCCGCCCGTCGCGTTAGAGGAAACTGGTGGGGGAGTGGGGGAGGGAGCTACGGGCAGGCGTGTAGTGCATGTTATCATCGTGTTTCGGGCAGGCTTTGTGCTGAGCCCACTACTGTTACTGTATCGTGGCGTGCATGTGAGGTTCTGAGATGTGGCGGTTGTTGCAAGTAGAACCTTTGGCACTGATCGAGCTGGCTCTAGAGAAGCAACGTTACACTAGACACGGCATGTACTTGTAGTGGTACTTTATTCGTCGGTGTGTGAGTGGACTGATATGATTCATTGTGCATGTTTCGGCTGTGTCTTGTAGATTATTATGTGATGCTGATTTTTTACGTTGTTGTTAGACCGGAGCAGGCCACCTGGTGCAGCCAGCATGCAGAGGAAACTGCTGTGGGATCGATCGTGTTTTTCACACCCTCTTGGTGTGTGTGTGTACGCTTTCATGCGGGTCGCGCCAGAGAATACTTGTTCGTTGATTCGGTTCGGGCGATTTCCACAGCGGCGGTGTGTTGTTTTGTAGGTGGCGTCGCTGCCATTTTCGCGCCCAATCCACTCGCTGCTGTTGTTGTGAAACGCGATTACATAAAGAGTGTTACAGGCCGTGTCGTCATTGTTTTGAGATTTTCTTGTCCTTCGGCGTCTATGATATTACGGTGGAGGTGACAGAGCTCGGGCTGGGTTGTCAATCGCTGCGAGGGCGGGTGCCGTGATGTTCGCTGTGGGCGCCCCCCCACGCCTTGTGAACCCCCGGCGTCCGAAACAACGCTTGTTTGGCGACGGAAGGTTGACAAAATTCACGAATCTTTGTCTCTATCGACACCCTAGGTTGGATACAATGTATGTTTTCCCCTAGAACGTGACGATATTGATGGGTTTTCTCGCGATATAACGCAAAATCTTCTCAACACCGTCATCATGCTTCATGGCACAGCCTTTTTACATGTACGGGTAGATCAAATTTGGACATGAAGCGACTGCTGTGGTGTGCACGTGATGTTTAATTCCACCTGCATCAGAGATATAGCCTACATGCACGTACCAAGTTGTAGACTATAACGGACGTTTTCTTTCTTTTTGGTAGCTGGACTCCACAGCAGAGACAGTGACAGTGCCAAAAACGGCGGGGTTTGAACAGTCTCGTCGAGAGCCTTCCGAGGACGCATCGTTTCATTTTATGTACCGTCTTTTCGTCATAGAGTACATAATTAATCGAGCATCGAAAATCGGTCAAGGGGGTGTGGTATCTTGTGTCATATGTCCTACGGTACCCATCCCTGCTGCTGCCACATTTTATCACATTCTCCTTTTCTCTACAATTGTGGGGATGCCCACGCATAAATAGTGGACCAACATTCGATTATGTGCATGGCCCTCCACGTGTGTGAAAACGGACATACATACCCGCACCGGACACATTCCACCGTGCCTGGGGGGCGGCTTGCTGTTGAACCTCAACAAGTAGTTCCGAGCGGGGGGGGGGGGGGGGGGGGGGAAAAAAAACCCCCCGGAATTCTTAAAAGAAGGGGCTGCAGGAAGCGTGCCCCCCCCTGGGGGAGTGGGGCGGGGGGGGGGACCTGGCTTGCCCCCGGAAACGCAT